CTCTCTCTTTCTTCTTTCTTCCCTTCCTCTCTTCTTCTACTCTCTCTCTCTCTCTCTCTCTCTCTTTACCCCTTCTCTCTCTCTCGCGCTCTCTCTCTCTTTTCCCCTTTCTCTCTCTCTCATTTCCCCGTTCTCTCTCTCGCTCGCTCACTTGAGCTTTCTCGTGCTCTCTCGCTCTCCTCTCTCACTCTCTCTTTCGCTCTCTCGCTTTCTCTTTCTTTCACACTCTCTCTTTCGCTCTCTCGTTCTCTCGTTCTCCCTCTCTCGTCTGCTTTCGAGCATTCTAATTTTCGTTCAATATCTCCCAATCTTTGACAAAAATACACCCATCACTCGCGCAGCGCGTTCGTTCGCACACTTCTCGACAGATGGGGCTGCTACTGCTGCTCACCATCGCAGACGGGACAGCACTCTCCGTCGGGGACGTACTGCAGCGTCGGGCAGTCGATCGGCGGGCACGGCTTTGGGATGCACTCGACGTAGCCGGTATTGCATCGGCACATGGTGCAGCTCTGACCGTCCCACGTCTCAGTATCACCGTAGCTCACTCCATCGTAGACACAGGCGTACGGATCTGCTGGAAAGAAGGCGATGAGGAGGAGAGGGAGGACGAGAGAGGAGGAGGAGGAGGAGGGAAGGAGGGAGGAGGAGAGAAGAGGAAGAGGGAGAAGAGAGGAGGAAAGAAGAATGAAAAAATAAAATAAAATTAGTTAAATGCTAATCGCGTGCGGAAGAGGAGTCTCATTAAACTAGCGGTTACACGCATTAACAGTGCTGTGTGTGTGTGTGTGTGTGTGTGTGTGTGTGTGTGCGTGTGTGTGTGTTGTGTGTGTGTGTGTGTGTGTGTCGTGTGTGTGTGTGTGTGTGTGTGTGTGTGTGTGTGGTGTGTGTGTGTGTGTGTGTGTGTGTGTGTGTGTGTGTGTGTGTGTGTGTGTGTGTGTGTGTGTGGTGTGGTCAATGTATGTACACGGTTGCTACTCTGCCTCGACAACTCGATTTTAGCAATCTACAATCCCCTAGCGACGCAGGCAAACAACACATCGTGTCGAACCATCATGCGAAGATTCGTTAAACTGCTCTCAGCTCTAATGCACTAACACAACTATTACTCAACTAAATATTTACACGCTCGCGCGGGATGCGGCCCACACGCCGATGTGGCAAACGAGCCATTCTACAGACGCGACTCTCGTGCGGTTATCAAGGCGTTGTGGATTTTCCGCTGAATACACCAACTATCGGTGAGAGAGATTAGTCGCTAGCTCGGTAACTCAGCAGCGCAGTGTTGTCGTCTGGGATGAATACGTAAGGCTATGACGAGTAGTGCACACTGACGCACACTCACGCTCAGAGCCATCTTAACAAAACCTCGCTTTCTCTCACTCTCACGCACACACGCACGCGCACACATACACGTATACATACACACACACACACACACCACACACACACACACACACACACACACACCACACACACACACACACATCACAGCACACACACACACGTGCACACACACGCAACATAACAAACATTCGCAAGACCACATATATAGTCATTTTAATCAACCGTCGGCCATCATGTCTTATTCAAGGTCATATTATATTATGTAATTATCAATTCTTAAAAAAGAATTCACCCGATCCTGATACACCAAAC